CCGAGGATACAATTATGAGAAAAATGAACGGGAATGATGGAACAGACCTCTTTGTGTTACTTAAAGACTAGGCTATGGAATAGGGTGATAAGCATAAGGAGATGGTGGTGATAAACACATCTGAATTAGGGTCCTGAGCACACCCCCCACCCCCGGCTCAGCTCCGCCCTGGGACGGAGGAGCATGGAGACCTCTGTGCCTTAGGCTCTGATCCAGCACCATCTCTCTGAGGAGCTGCCTGACCTTGAGTGAGCCAGGCCGGCCCAGTGAGTCTGACCTTCCAAGAGTGGTGCAAAGATTAGAGCTACTGTTGAAAAGCACAGGGCCCAGGGCCATCCCCAAGGCAGGCATGGAATAAACGGCAGCTTTAATTATTAGCATTATTGTTATTGTTTGTTGTTGTTGTTGTCAAGGGTAGTTTAGGAATGGAGAAGCTCAGAAACATCTCAGATCAAACTTGGCAATGAGGGACAAAAACCAGCCTCGCAGATTTCCCAACGGGTGATGTTGGGATGTTTCAAAGTTGAAGGGCGATTTGGAGCCTGAGACGCTCTGGCCCCAGTCACCTGGGCTGCTCCCTGCCTGGCCAGCGCGGAGCAGACCTCTGCCTGACTCAAGCGCACGCTGCCGCCGCCGCGGAGACACACAGACAGTTCGGGCTGCTCAAACCTAATAAAGGGCCCTTTCATCACCCCTAAGCCGCCGTCTCTTGCTGTAACTCTACACAGGAGAACGGAAGTTCATCAGTGTAATCCTTCCTTCCATAAAGATCATTGAGATTGCTTTTGATTTGTTTACGACCATTTCCCCACTTCTTCCTAAGTGGAATATGCTGTCATCTTTCAGCAGGAAATGGGGTCAGGAATTAGACTTCTTAAGATACAACGAAAATCTTTAGAGAGGAAATGTGGCTCCTTCCTTAACAGGTGTAACAATGAAAACCAACCTTGTCCGACAACCTTAGAAGACTTGCAGGAAGCCCGTTTGATCAGATCCCTTATTCAAATGCTAAACTACCTACTTATCAAAGTCACCCACTCTGCACAAGCATTGTCCAAAAGTTCCTACCCAACTGAACCTCAGAATTCTAAGGGCTTCTTTCTACATCACTCTCATCCTGTCCCTTAGCACAGTGTCTGATTAGCAGGCTGATTTCATTAGTGTATGTACTAATAGAGATGACAAACATTACATATGCTCATGTATTGCTAAAATCTCTGCCAATGATATCTGAGGTGCTGGGAGCGGGATGGATTATGCTAACGCATCCGGGCCTTTAACGACAGAAGCCTCCGGCAATCTGCACATACTTTTATGACACACATTAAATATACATTCAAGCTACTGCTGAGAAAGTTCACAGAAGTGTCGATCCACGCTCTTTTTGCTAGACCCCAAGTAACCCAGCTGTCAGTAAATGCGTCTAGTATCGCCGTGACGGCTGCGGTGAGAGTCTGTGAGCACACACAGGAATCATGGGGGCTTCTTTTTACTCCTTTTTTAAATTTCAAAGTATTAGACCTGCTTATCACTCTGCCATTTTTCGATAAATTAGTAGCCAAGGCAAGCTCTTCCAAAGAAAGTCATTGTCATCAAGAGCCACAGCAAAGAATGAAATCAGCCCAGTGTCATAGGTAGTGAGGTCTATGAGCACCACAAGACTAACAGCGAGTGAAGGGTCCTGAGCTCTCGGGTGACTCTGCAGTTTGCACTCTGAAGAACACACAACAGCTGCTTTACTGCGCAGACAGGGACTTAGCAACGGTGCCATCAGCCTGCGGGGCTGGATTTAGAGGATTCCAAAGGAGTGGTGGAGATCTGTTTATTTTACTGGGGGGCAGAATGCTGAGCAGGATTTGTTCTGTTGGCCCATTCTGGTAACCAAGGAAGCAAGGCTAAGGTCAAAGAGACAGTCAGGTCCTTACATTCTAAAGAACTCAAATCGTTAGCAAGAGTGGCAGACCAGCCCTGCTGTACCTCACTCCCACCTTGCCCCTTCCTTCTTCCTCCACACAGAGAAGACAAAGGAGGAGAGAGCAGGTGGAGGGCTTGGCTCCTCCAAGGACTTTGCTTTCTCCTCCCCAGAGTCGGTGTCCTCTGTCTCCCCACAGACACCAGAAAGGGGACCATGTAAGAGAATGGCTTTGGAAGAGCCTCCTGCAAGGGAACCCAATACCCTGTTCTCAGGCGGGTGACTGCTAGGTCAGCTGACTTGTTACCTGCACCTTCCCGAGCAGGCGAACAATGACCTGGACAGAAAAGGCAGGGGGAAAGGGGGCAGCAGTCATGTAAGGGAAGCGAGGCCTGTTGCCAGGACTCCATCCAAGAGGGCAGCCTACAGGTAAAGGAAGGAAGGAAAGATTATGGGCTGCCCCAGCAGGGGCAGAGTTGAGGGGGTCCCTGGACAAAGTAGAGTCAACATCAATCCCCTCAATCCAGGAACCATGGAAGAGGGAGACCTTTGGAGGAGATCCAGGGGCAGGCATTTGGCGGACTGGCTAAGCCACTAGTTGGGACGCTCGCTTCCTATAATGGAGCAGCAACGTTCAAGCTTTGACTCTATTCCTAGTCCCAGCTTCCTGCAGGTGGACATCATGGGAAGCAGCAGTGAGTCCCTGCTACCAGGTAGGAGACCCAGATGGCTTTCCTGGCTCCTGGCTCTGCCTGGCCCAGCTGTGGCTGAGCAAGGCATAGGGGTGTGAACCAGTGGGTAGGAGGTCTGTCTGTCTCTCTCAAAGAAAAAAGAAGTGGAGAAGGAAAGAAAGCAGGGAGGGAGGGGAGGAGGGAGGAGGTGTTCTGAAGGACTCTCCTTTGGGTCAGTATTTGGATGTCTCCCACCTGGTGGGCACCCACCACCACTCTGGGGTACCGGAGAAGCAGCCACACCTACAGAGAGCACTGTATGTGTGAGCAGTGGCATGAGGAACATCTGTGTCTTCTCTCCACCTAAAATACAGGAGGAGAAGGAGGATGAGGCAAAGGTCAGGGTAAGTGTCCCAGAGCAATGGAGCACTGCTCTACCCTTCTCTCAGGTGTGGGAGGGGAGGGAGAGGAGAGTCCCTATCCCCTCAAGTCCCTTCCCACTTAGAGCAGCAAATGATGAAGGCAGGAGGAAACGATGACATACATACAAGGATGTGCAACTGGTGCACAAAACCAGATGGTCCAGAGTTTGTTTAAAAGGCAGAATGAGAGAGAGACAGAGAGAGAGAGAGAGAGAGAGAGAGATCTTTCACCTGCTGGTTCAATCCCCAAATGCCCACAACAGCTGGCACTGGGCCAAGCTGAAGCCAAGAGACAGTAACTCCACCCAGGTCTCCGAGGTGGGAGGCAGGAACCCAAACACTTGGGTCATTGTCTGCACCTCCTAGGCACATAATAAAGAAGCTGGATAGGAGGCAGAGGCAGGACTAGATCTAAGGCACTCCTATGTGAGATGCAGGCACCCCAAGCTGCACCTTAGCCCACCGTGCCACAACTCAAATCCCAAGTTTAGTTATGTTATATAAATTAACCCATTTATTATAGGCTACTGATGTCTCAAAGATGGCACCCCTACTGGTCTTTCAATTCTTTCAGCCTTCTGATTACAGACTTCACTGTGATGGTGTTGTATGTCCAGGTGCCACCAGCTACTGTTTGCATGCAGGAACCAGAGTGCCAGATCTCCATGGCTCGTCTTTTCACCTTGATTTTGCTGCAGAAGGCGCAAGTGTTACTTGGTATTCTGGCTGATTTCAATTTTCTTCACCATTTTCCAGAGGGAGGCACCATAGCGGGTCCCATATTTACCCATGATCCTGACCTTCTAGGTGCGTTTGGCCATATCGCTGCCACCTAGGTCCCAGCCCAGAGAGGTATTTAGCTTTGAAGATTTATATATTTATTTATTTGAACGTCAGAGTTACATAGAGAGACAGAGAGATAGAGAAGTCTTCCATCTGCTGGTTCAATCCACAGATGGCCGCAATGTCCTAGGTTGGGCCAGGCCAAAGCCAGAAGCCAGGAGCTTCTTCCAGGTCTCCCACGTGAGGGCAGGGGCCCAAGGACTTGCATCACCCTCTGCTGCTTTCCCAGGCCATTAGCAGGGAACTGGATGGGAAGTGGAGCAGCCGGGACTCAAACTGGCATCCATATGGGATGCCAGCAACACAGACTGTGGCTTTCAAACAAAGATCCCAGCCTTCTTGCTACAAGCAAGAAGGGAGATTTAACCCAGCGCAGTCAGAACAATATGTAGAGGAAAATAAAATCAATGAACCTCCAACACCTTTCAAAGACCAAACAATTTCTTTCTGAAATTTCTGCTCTCATGCAAAACACTGCCTTTTGCCAAAAGGCCCAGAGAGTGAAGAGGAGGGGACAGGATTTGAAGGAAAGCTGGTGCCATCCAACAAACCACAGGCTTAGAAGATCAGGGCACACAGGATCCACTGAAATAGGCTAGCGGGACCTGATCAGGAATTAAGAGCTGCTTTAACTTATCATAAGGCGGGTACTAGTTCTAGATCATTCCTCTTAAGAGAAAGGACACTATTTATATGGTGAATAGACTCACATTTTTTTTATTTTCAATTATCTTTATATACAGAAGATCAATTCAGTATATATTAAGTAAAGATTTCATCAGTTTGCACCCACACAGAAACACAAAGTGTAAAAATACTGTTTCAGTACTAGTTATAGCACTACTTCACAATGGACAACACATTAAGGACAGATCCCACATGAGAAGTAAGTACACAGTGACTCCTGTCGTTGACTTAACAATTTGACACTCTTGTTTGTGGCATCAGTAATCTCCCTAGGCTCTAGTCATGAGTTGCCAAGGCTATGGAAGCCTTTTGGGTTCGCCGACTTCAATCTTATTCAGACAGGGTCATAGTCAAAGTGGAAGTTTTCTCCTCCCTTCAGAGAAAGGTACCTCCTTCTTTGATGGCCCCGTTCTTTCCATTGGGATCTCACTCGCAGAGATCTTTCATTTAGGTCTTTTTTTTTTTTTTTTCCAGAGTGTCTTGGCTTTCCATGCCTAAAATACTCTCATGGGCTCTTCAGGCATATCTGAATGCCTTGAGGGCTGATTCTGAGGCCAGAGTGCTATTTAGGACATCTGCCATTCTATGAGTCTGCTGTGTATCCCGCTTCCCATGTTGGATCGTTCTCTCCCTTTTTGATTCTATCAGTCAGTATTAGCAGACACTAGTCTTGTTTGTGTGATCCCTTTGACTCTTAGACCTATCAGTGTGATAATTGTGAACTGAAGTTGATCACTTGGACTAGTGAGATGGCATGGGTACATGCCACCTTGATGGGACTGTACTGGAATCCCCTGGCACATTTCTAACTCCACCATTTGGGGCAAGTCTGATTGAGCATGTCCCAAATTGTACATCTCCTCCCTCTCTTATTCCCACTCTTATATTTAACAGGGATCACTTTTCAGTTAAAATTTAAACACCTAAGAATAATTGTGTGTTAATTACAGAGTTCAACCAATAGTACTAGAACAAAAAAAATACTAAAATGGATAAAGTATTACATTGTACATCAACAGTCAGGACAAGAGCTGATCAAGTCACTGTTTCTCATAGTGTCCATTTCACTTCAACAGGTTTCCCCTTTGGTGCTCAGTTAGTTGTCACAGATCAGGGAGAACATATGATATTTGTCCCTTTGGGACTGGCTTAGTTCACTCAGCATGATGTTTCCAGATTCCTCCATCTTGTTGCAAATGATGCGGTTTCATTGTTTTTGACTGCTGTATAGTATTCTATAGAGTACATGTCCACATTTTTAAAAAAGATTTATTTATTTATTTGAAAGGCAGAGTTACAGAGAGAGAGAGAAGAGAAACAGAGCGAGATCTTCCATCTGCTGGTTCACTCACAAATGGCCGCAATGGACAGATCTGGGCCAGGCCAAAGCTAGGAGCCAAGAGCTTCTTCAGGGTCTCCCAGGTGGGTGCAGAGGCCCAAGGACTTGGGCCATCCCCCACTGCTTTCCCAGGTATATTAGCTGGGAGCTGGATTAGAAGAGGAGCATCCGGGACTTGAACCTGCACCTAAATGGGATGCAGGCATGGCAGATGGTTGCTTAACCCAGTGCTCCACAGCACTGGCCCAAATAAGTCCATTTAAAAAAATTTTTTTTACTTATTTTTATTTATTTGACAGGCATAGAGACCAAGGAGACACAGACAAAGTGATCTTCCATTTGCCAGTTCACTCCTCAAATGTCCCCAACAGCTGGATCTGAGGTTGGTTGGGACCCAACTACTTGAACCACTTGTATCTCCCAGAGTGTACATTAGCAGAAAACTGGAACAGGAAGTGAAGTTAGGACTCGAACCCAAGCACTCTGACGTGGATACAGGCACGACAAAGAGGCATCTTCACCACCAGGTAAATGCCCACCCCAGGCCCACATTCGGACAACTCAAAACCTTTAGAAAGACACCCACAGCTTTCTCCTTCCTTTCCCCTGATTTCCTTTCTCCTTTCCTAGTTTCCAACTTATTCCACCTTCCCTGAGAAGGACTGTTCCGCCCACGTGAGAACCATCCAACTCGTGAGGCCTCCCAAGGTGATGCAGAACCCCCGGGTCTAAGGGGTGGATTCCACAGCAAATCCTACCCATCTCCTGCCTGAAACGCTGTGCTTCTCCCAAGGCCCTTTCAGGAGTGCATTGCCTCCTTTTCCTGTATGATTGGGGCGTGCTTCCCGCACCAATTCCATCCGAGGCACAGCTGTGTCCTGGCCAAGCTCTGTCCCCGCAGGAGAACAGAGTCAGCCTGAGAAGTGAGTCAGGGCCAAGCATGACTGCAGCAAGCTGCAGGGGGCCGAGCGCTCCTAATGAGGCTGGGGTGCAGCCTTACTGAACGGTAGGTTATTACTGCTGTGAAGTCACCTAGACGGCCTCTGCCAGGCCTCAGTTCTCGGCTGTTTGCAAGGTGCAGCGTTACTTTTCAACAGCTGAGGACTCAAACAGAGGACACTTCTACCCCAAAACCCTCCAACTTCCCCTTCCATGGGTAATGATGTCAACCCACAGGTTGCTAACGACCCAGGGAAGCTCCTGGCAACAAACACTGGATTAAAACCACAACTTCTTCATGTTGGGAATAAAGGTGTCAGAGCAAATGCAAAATCCTGCATTGTGCTTTCTGCAAAAGGCCCCCAATTCATAAACCAGTAACATTGCCCGCCTGGAACAGTCATTGGCTAATTCTTTTTAGGCAACTGAGAGAACATTCTAGAGTCAATTCTTTATGGAAACTATGGGGGCATAATTAAACCCAACAGCCAGAGCTCTACGTGAAAATCTTCACCCCAGAGCAATTTAGTTTAAGTAGCTAAGCTACTCTTGTTTTTCTGTCTTCCAACTAAGTATTTTGTCTTCATGAATCGAGAAGAGTAATAAACCAATGCTGGGAAATGTAACCCCAGACAGGGTACTGGGTTGTGTGCAGATCTATGGGACTGACATTAATAAAATTCTGTTTATCTCTAATACATTACAATAGTATTTTATAGGAAAATTTCAATGTGTGGCACAGATAGGAGACACGCTGAACCCATTGACATTTAGCTAACAGAATTTTTAATAGAATTGAGCTGGCCTGGGAAGGAAGAAAAATAGGAAAGAAATGCCAACCAGATGACTCCCTGGAGAATAATTCATTTTGGTTTTATGTGATATTAAATATCACTTCCTCCACCAAAGTTGGAACCTGCATTAGTCTTAACAAAGCAAGTTTTGTCCATCCAAAAGCTCTGCCAGGAAGACCCCCAGGTCAGTATCAGGGTCTCAGGCACTGCTACCGGGCCATCATGACAAAGACAAACCCACTCACGATGAAGGGCGCCATGCTCATTCACGGTGTTCGTGATGGGAGGTCCTCCACATCACAAGGCAGAGTTTACAGCCCCTGCCCCGCTGGCTGAGTCTGATTTCTGGCTTGATTTCACCGGGTCCGTGGCAGGCACAGGCTATTGCTCTGCACAAGAGCTCTGAAGCTCAGGGAGCGGCTCTCACTCCCATGGGACAGACAGGTCCAGGACGCTGCGCTGTGCTCACTCTGCCCACTGCTATTCCAGAGGGCAGCGAGCCCTCCAAGCCCTCGATGGCCAAAGCCTCCAGAGGAGCTTCTCCTCCTGCCTCTACCCCCACATCGCCTCCACTTTTTTTTTTCCATCCTTCCCCATCCCCTTTCCCACTGGCCTCCAACTCTCCCTCTTCCTGCCATTTTCCTTCTCTTAAAATTGGCCACGGAGATGTTCATCCACCGTTCTAATGCTCTGCTCTTAATTTTAACATGACCTGAACATTTCATATTTTCCTTACAAATATTTTGAAAAGAACCTCCCTGATTATTGTTTATGCATGCTCTATAATCATTAGACTTGGGTATTTTTAACACTTGCTCTCCTTGACTTTTTTCTTCCTGTCTTTCAAGGGCTCATTTTTGTTCTCTCTGTCTCAAATGAACACTAACATTCATTAGCCACACCTGTAGATTCTTTTCTCTACTTCCATAGATTCCGAAGGTTAGCACTTCAGTTCTGAACGTGTTCTTACATCCCCTGCACCAAAATACTTCAACACTTAGAGGTGAGGAATTGAGCTAGGCCCTGAGAAGTCAACATTTCACAAGATGGGCATTCCACAAGGGGAGACAGACAACAGGTAAGTGGATAATAAAAATGCATATATAAAATAATCAGGGGTTATAGGTGTTGCAGAGAAAATGACCAGCATTCTGTGAACAGATGAGTAGGAGGAGGCCTGTTTGAGATGGGTGGTCAGAAAACGCTTCTCCACAGAGATGCATTTAAGCCAATATCCAAAGGGTGATGAGAGCCAGTCTTGCAAAGAACTCGGAAAGAGAATTTCGGGGAGGGAACAGCAAGCACGAATGCCTTGAGGCAGGCAGAGCTGGGATTTTTCTAGGAACTCAGGAGCAAAGTGCATGTGAGTGACACAGGACAAGACTGCAGAGAGAACAGGGGCCGAAGCTTGCATGGTTTTTCTAAAGAGCATGGATTTCACTCCTCAGCATATTGTTAAGCCCTGAAAGACTTTAAGCAGGACAATGCCATGATCTGATTTTCAAGCTATTTCTCTTTATACTTCCCTCTGGGAGAATGTAAACCTTTGACTTCTGACTCCAGGCCAGATCACCTTCCCTTGGTTGCTAGGATCCCACAGTAAGTTACATCTTTGAAACACAATTGCATGCAAAATCAGCACCACTCAAAGAAAAGGGACACTATATGTCTTTATTAACTCAAAAGAACCTGCAGGCTATATGACCAACATGACTGTGAAATTAAAGGCTCATCTAGTTTCTAAAAATACAATGATGGGGCGGGCATTTGGCCTGGTGGTTCACTTGCCAATTAAAATATCCCTGCTCTATACAGGAGTGCCCGGGTGTGATTCCTGGCTCCAGCTTCTTGCAGTGCAGACCCTGCAAGACAGTGGTGATGGCTCAAGTAATTAGGTTCTGGCCATCCACATGGGCAGTTTGGATTCAGGTCCCAGCTCTGGGGCTTGGCCTAGTCCAAGTCTGGTTGCTGCAGGCATTTGAAGACTGAACCAGTGGCTGAGAGCTCTGTCTGTCTGTCTCTCAAGAACATAAATAACCAAATAATTACTTTTTCATTTAAAAAATTTTAAGATTTATTTATTTATTTCCAAGTCAGAGTTACAGAGAGGGTGATGCAGAGGCAGACCAAGAGGTCTTCCATCCATTGATTCACTCCCGCATTGGCCAGAGCTGGACCAGGCCAAAGCCAAGAGCCAGGAGTTTCATCCAGGTATCCCATGTGGGTGCAGGGGCCTACGGACTTGGGCCATCTTTCACTGCTTTCCCAGGCACATTAGCAGGGAGCCGGGTCACAAGTGGAGCAGCCAGGTGCCTATATGGGATGCTGGCACTGCAGGTGGAGGCTTTACCTGCTACACCACAGTGCTGGCCCCTAACCAAATAATCCCCAAAACACAATACTAGTTTACTACCTGGACATGTTTGTTATTTTTCCCCAGATGTTTCCTGAGAAATCACTAGTAAGAGTTTAAAATAATGACATGTGTACACACCTTCACTGAAGCAACGAAGAAGTTATTTCAGAAACAAATTAAGGAATATATTAAAAAGAATGAGACCAGGAAACATAAATAAAAACTAACAGCTATGTATCTACATTCAGTGTATCCGTTGAATTTTAGGTGATAAGTAGGGATCAAATCAGAAGTTAATCTGCTTTGGGAAACTGAGTAACACACAGCGCCCCAACTTTCATCTGACCCCAGCACTGACAAATTTATGGGGGATTCACTATTTACCTGTGCCATCACTCACCCCACCTGCACCACCTGAAACTCTGCCTCTCCCTCCACCGTTTCTGAACAGGTGGCGGCTCCACCTACCTGCCTGCCCACCCAGCCACAGCTCTCCACACAAAGCCCAGCCTCCCTCAGAAAGGCCTCCCCTGGGCCAGGGCCAGCTCTCACTCTAAAATGCACCAAGGGCTGTAAGGGAGGTGTGGTCAGGCCACAGAACGGAACCTGCCCAGCTAACATGACTCCCCATGCCCAAGGAGATCCTTCCAGGCAAGGGCTGTGGCCCCTTCTGCGGCACTGCACAGGTATCCTTGTTAATTACATGAGAATCATTTGGACTCATTCAGGTTTCTCATCCACCCATTGGGGCTAAAATAACAGCTGAACAAAGGCAAGACAGGGCTCCCACACAGACACAGGCGAAGAACAAATGCTTAAGATGCAAGATTAATATCCTCAGAGAGTACAAAGACTGAACATCTTATTTTTAGATCCTAAGTACGGAGATAGCATGATAAGAAGCTTCAGAGAAATCAAGACTCAACGGGAAAAAATATGACAAAGTCTTATTTACAGTGGGTTATTTAAAGTGTAAAACTAAGTATCCTTGTAACCTCATGATACTTAAAATCGAAAGTAACAAACGGTAATGCACTTTAAGAAATACCTTCTTTCAATCATCGCTATTCATCACCCTTAAGTCGTCATAGTCCAGGATGATCTTGCAAATTGGAAGCAAACAACCGCCTGAGATATCTATTTATAATATTTTGAGGACATAAAAATATGCCTTCCTTCTTCCTCCTCCTTCAAAAATTTTACACAATATCCTGTACTTGACTTTCACAGGTGCTTCAGATTCTATCCCAGCTAGAAACTAAAAGCTAAGAAATCCAACAGATTTATAACTGGCATGAAACTTACTAGGCTTTAAGTTGTCTTGCCAATTAAAATTGCTATATTGTACACAATTTTGTTTTCCCTCCCTATGGCTAGACATAGTTTCTGAGTCGATCAATAATTTTCATTATCCCTGAAGTCTGCAATCCTCAGAAACAAATTTCTGGGTGGTCAACGAAAATTTCACAGTCATTTTGATTGGGTGCAAAGCACAAATGCCACTAAGACATTTTTCATGACAAATAGATGGTGGGGGTGGGTGGGCAGAGAGGGGCGGTGTGGAAAGGAGGGAGGTTGGAGGACCACCTTCCAGCAGGATGCTGGGGAGGGGAGCTGGTTCTTAATAGCAGCATGACTCACCTGAAGGCAGGCCACGGCATCTGTAAGCCTCACTTCCTAGAATCCTGCCTGGGGGCCCCGTAGTGGAAAGGACACTGAATTGGGAATAATTTAGATTCGAGCAGGAAGTACACCTTGAGTTTTGTCCATAACATACTAATTTACTTCTGCATGACATTTCTGAGCCACCAAATGACTCATGCAAACAAGACAAAATACAGGGGGGAAAAATGTTTAGAGAGCATTTGGAAAAAGATATTAATGCTGCTCCAATTTTGTAACATATTCTTGGCACACGAACCGAGGGTCAAATTGCAAAGAGAAACATGTAATTTGGGTATATTCTGCTCACACTCAAAAAAACCAGAGGTGGAAAAACAGAATTCGTCTTACAGGGACACTTGAACTCACCAAACCAGGGAACTCGGTTTTTGATATTCACGCAGAGGCAGGTTTTTATAAACATTTTTCTGTGAACTCCCACATTGTCACGGAAGTTCCCAGTGCTGAAACCATGCTTTCTGCTGCCTTTCGGCCCCCTCCCACAATGCAGCGGCACCAGGACGGGACGCGCACGCCAAGGGCCGACCGCAGAAGCTCACGGCGCAGCGCCACTGTGCGTCACACAGAAGCCACCAGAGGGGCCACACTCGCCGCCAGCCGCATCTAGGCTCACCTTCCTGAAT